CTAAAATAAAAACTTAATTGTTTGATATTGTTGAAGACCCAACATTAATTCCTAATTACATGTGATTCATCGTATTGTAAAAAAGGTTCTGAACATAGCTATATGATTCATGTTTTAAATCCTTGATTGATAGCTGTTTTTTAAATATTGTGATTGATTTAAGATGTCTGAATTATGTAATGCATATCAGATTAATTATGTAAATTAGCATGATAAAACTATGTAAGTCTGCTTTTTGCTAATAAAGTCATTATCATATGCCATGTTCTGTGTCCAGACCGGATTAGGGCCGGGGTATCAGCTCCACCTCCCGCCGGGGGCCTGACGGATCAGATTAACCCCCGACCCCGCTAATCTACTGAGAAATTGGACAAGTCGATTTCTACCCCTGGTGTCAGGATGATACACTCTCGTGAAAACCTGCGTCACGCAGCAGGAAAATACAACGTGTTCAATCCATTTTTCTGTAGCAACGCGGGCACGGCCGGTGTCATAGCTCTCGATTTATCTCCAACTTCAGGCCAAGCAGATCTTTTGGTAATCTCCAGGCAGATCCCTCTCGGTGGCAAAAAGACAGTATCAGTATCCATTAGCCAGAGAAGGTCGTCGGCCACAGACGGGGCAAAACAGTGGGCAGTTTAATACCATTGAAGAAAAGATACCAGACTTCTAGTAAAAAAAAACAAGTCTGATAACAAAAAAAAAAGCCTAAAATTAAAAACACGCCATAAATAAGCCGAAGCCTAATAAACCTTTACTTGAAGAGTAGCTCTTGATAAATGCGTAATTTTTATAATCTGCAAGCAGATCGCAAGCCACCGTATGATCTGCTTGGAGATCATAATTTCTAGGCGGCGTCGGTTGATGTTCGTAAGCTCAGTTCAGTCAATGTGATCATCATGTAGATTTTCAGGTCGACTCTCTGGCGACCTTCCGCCGATCAACAATATTATGCGGCTGAAATTCGCGTTCTTTTAAATAGGACTATTCTACTATGCTATTATATTAGAGACCACGCAGAATTAACCTCTTGGTTCTCTGAATCACCTTCATCTTCTTTTCTTCCTTCCTTCCTCTCTCAGGCACTCTCTTTTCTAGAAGTGTGACCAAGAAATCAAATCGGTATGGCCATAGCTTCTGATAGAAAAGAAATACTAGTACTGCTGTCCAAGGCCCCAATTCTGTCACTATATACATGTATCAAATGGCATATAATATTCTTCAAAATGGGCCAAGGCTGACAAAGCACTTTATCAATATGAATTATGTTCATTCCATATTTCGACACCTCTGTTTTGGACGATTGAACCAGCAAATTAGCCTGGGTGTCAGGAGCCCCGGAGGAAATCGGGTGGCATCCAGACTATAACAGCAGATAGATATACCAGTAAACAAAAATAGCCAAATGGGGCTTGTAATACACTTTTCTTGCATTGTACTGGAAGAAAATGTTACAAAATTTAAATGGCCACAAGAGTTAGCCGGCTGTAGAATTAATTTCCGTGCGTTTCTATGCCCTTTAGTCAATCATTTCTAATATTTGTCAATGAATCTTCTGAGTTCCAGCGCACCTAAAGAGACTGGCAGTTCGAGGTTATACATTCTCCGTGAGACTTGTAAACAAAATTAGCGTTTCTCGCATTCCAGGCGAATCTGTACATCGCTAAATGCCCGGCCTACAAGCGCCGAACACACAGATAAACGGTGTTGGGAACGCGCTGGCAGATTTAGGGCATGGTTGACAGACTTGCACGGTCCGTGGTTAGGTTAATAGGTCATGCAGTGGGACTTCTCTTAAATGTCAAACCGAATAAACCTGCAATTTTCTGGCATCCGTAGCAGCTATGTCCTGCTGTCCAAGCCATCGATTTTGCCGGGCTTTGTTACCTTCGACAAGAGGATTATGTTTTCGGAGGCGTTCGTGTTGTTTGTTTGTTTGTTTGTGTGTGTGTGTGTGTGTGTGTGTGAACAAGATAGCTCGAGAAGGCTTACATGGATTGTCTTGATATTTGGTATGTGGGTAGGTCTTGATGAGACCTCGAAACAATTAGATTTTGGACCCCCCAGCGGCCTGTTATGGTACTGCAGCAGAACTTTCGGATTTGATATCTCATGATCTGGACATGCTACTTTTTTTGCGTTTGGAACGCCAAGCACTAAAAGGAGAATCACCCTTCTGCTTAAAGATCACCCACCCATCGCTTATCCTTCACTCCCCTTCCTGCATGATCCAAACCAGTCGATCTAGAAGTAACGATTTGTCCCTGAAAACGGCGCCCATGGGCAGAGTATCGAAAACGGTTTGTCCCTAAAAACGGAGCCCGCCCATAAACCGATCCAGTAGGCATGATGCCCACTTCTTCAAAAGGAAGACATGCAAAATACTAGTAGTTAACATAAAAATGCAGTTATTTCCTGGACATGTAGAGCTTTCTCATTGGTTAGACAATGGATTAGACCCATAAAATAGCCATCCTCTCATTGGTTAAACTGCTAATTGTGATGGGCAGGCAGGATAAGGTCTATACTGTCCCGTTCAAATAATTTGCCGCGCGAATTGGAGATAATCCACCTTTTCACAGTAAAGCCGGCAGGGGTCAACTTAATTTTATTAATACTCTATCGATTTTTGGCACCGCAAAAAACTATACATGAGAGAACGCCTCCAGAATATATTAAGAAAATACGAAATATCATAGCAGCTAATGTATCATCTTTACCCCCAAAACCTACCCTATGATTATGAAAAAACAAAATGATTAGAAAAAGAAAATAGAAATAAATCCTATTTCCCTTGGAGAACTGGAAAGAAAAAATCAAGGACTAGTCCGTCGTAAATTTTCCTCGTCTCTCAATAAAAGAAAAATATTTTGACAAATGCATGCAGAAACAAAAATGATACTAGTATTTAAGAAAGTAAAAACAACTAAAGAAATTCTACATTTCTTGAACGAAAATAATTCAAGGAATTATTCGTCTCGGAATAAAAAAAGTGCTAGTAAGAAAAATGACAGACACCAAGGAAGAAACACTGTCAACTTTTTCCTTTGTTTTGAATTGTTCTCCGAAAGGAAGCCAAATCCCTTTGTCTTCGTTCACTTCCTCTTGTAATCACGAAGCGACCATTCGGACAACTCGGTAATTAGCATGGGCGGAGCACACTACACAGAGACAAAGCAGTGGAGAAATCCTATAAGACAAAGAAAACAAGCACGGCTGTAACGCGAGTCGAGTTCTCCCGTAAGCGGCCTCCGGACGTGCGTTCATCTTTTCCCAATGGGAGCTTGGAATTCTGCCGCTTTAGGCTGGAATGATTGCTTCTGCTCATTTGTGGAAAATACTGTAAATACATTTACTTTCGCGCGATAAGAGGTGTTAGAACTTCACGGTTGAAATAAAATCACACCGTACAAACGACTATGTTCCCTTACTGATTTCACATTACTGACTCAAGTTTAGCATTCAATTTTTTCTAACGCTGTATAGTACCGTACATTCGTGTATTTTCGTGGGGAAAAAGATTTTCGTGGTGTTTTGATCATTTTGTAGTACAGTAAGTAACATACTGTAGTACAGTATTTACGGGGCCGTGAAAATAAAACCAACCCTATATCGCAAACATTTCAATATCTACAGTATTGTTTCCTGGTACATATACACAACACGGAAACAGTCAGATCCTCATAAAATTGCATTGTGCAAGATGTTAGTAATTTGAAATTCTGTGGCATCCTTTTCTTGAGATACTAGTAGTTGGGCAAATTTGCACAACACTTCAGATTTTGTGCCATTTGGAGTGGCCCGTGTTTTCACGGGATGTCTGGTACTGTTTACATAAGGCAAATATAACACAGCTTTGTCAAACAATGTTAACATCCACATCACGCCAGAAGTCTACAGGATAAGATCGAAAGTAATTTTCAGTATGCTGGCTCCCAGTTTGTCATTGTAGTCCATGGAAATTGGTATTCCTATTTACTTTTAGTGAATCACTATAATAATATATAGACTTCAGTTTGGCATATCATCAATACAAACAACAGGTCGAGAACATGAAAAAATTATGCCTATGCAAGGGGAAAATGATAGTTGTTGTATCTGTTGTCATTGTTTGCTTGGGTTTGTTTTTGCACTAAATAAGTAAATAATTCATGAACCTTTGTCTATATTAGCGGCTCCCAAAACCAATTACGCTAAATTTTAATCCCTATATGCCGGAAGTGGCACACAATAGAGGGGGTGACAGATGTCAGTTCATGGAGGTTGCATCTCCCTTATAATATGTCCAATCATAATTATCATTTCAAGCTCAAAGTATACTAGTAGCGCAACATTTTACAGCAAAGTTTATAGTTCGTATTGTAAATAGTACTTTAAATACCCCCTTAAAAAACACACAAATCTCCAAGTGCCTATTCAAATCAGATACTAAGTAGTTTGTAATCTCCAAGCAGTTGTATGGATTCATATTGTTTTGTAAACGAGCTATAGTGTGGCCCAAACATCTGCTTTAAATTTATACAGTAACACATATATTCTGTATGCACTGTATCATTGTCATAAACATCGTAGGTCCGCATGGGGTGGGGGCGCGCTATGCAGTTACATAGATAGTTCATTTCTTTGTTAACCTAGTTCTGTGATGATGTTTTCACAAAAAAAATGTTCACTTTCATTATTCATGAGGATGTGGCCTTATACAATGAAGCATTTAGGAGTTGGGTCCCCCCTTTTATCTAAAGATTACCGAACGTCTCGCTAGCCTGGTTGCCAGACTGTTTCCGGGGCTAATACAGGTCAGCGTCTTGGCTCTAGAGCCAACATGCCCTCAAGGATTATTATACTACCCGCACCCTCAGACATAGAAACAGAGAAACAGGAAGGGGCTGTGGTACAATTTCCTTGTGAGCATTTTAGCCTTTTAACAGTATAGCCGAGGAGCTAGCCTGTGTAGGCCTTGGAAACAGTCTGGCATCCTGGCTACTCTGTCCATGACCCCCATTTCCCACGAAAACACGATTGACTCATGCCCAGAATAAACATTAAAGATATAGAATTACAAACTAGAATAAACACGACACGGAAGGCCTGTGAGAAATATCGCATGTGTATATAATTGCACTTGAAACGGAAATGTTCTCATCTTTCTGAAAATTCGTGACAACAAATTAAGTATTAGTGTCGTAAATGGTCGAAACCATCTTAATAATACTTTAAGCCACGTGATTTCAAGACCTCATAAGTACAACAACAAACGCTTAACGGAATGAATTCTTTCACTCTACGAATCCTGAATATATATGGTACCAAAAGACAAATAAAATCTATTTGCTTGATAAATTTACATCTACCATGATAAAGGAATCGTTTAGTTCGTGCTTTGAATCGCAGGCTTGGAATAATATCTCTTCTTTACGGTTCCCTTGTTCTGAATAAGGTTTTGTGTATTTAATAGTCTCTACATCGTGAGCGGGGCTCTTTGTAGAGCCGCCACGAAACGTGCCAGTCTTTTGTTGCACAATAACAAGATATTCTTGGTACTAAAAAATCTCTTTGTTTGTTACAGCTTTCCCAGGCCTTAGTATACACAAATAGAATTCTAATACAAAACTCTTGCATTGATAGAAGCGGGAATAGTATAATAAATAATGGACTTTAAGGGGGGAATATTAATATTCATCATAATTTCTGTCTGGCTTTCGCCGGCGATTTGTCACCATTATAATAATATTATGTGCAGGTGTTACAAGTTTTTTTGAGCGGCCTTGCGGAATTCTCGGCTAAACAGGACGCACAAAAAAGGGTTCACACAGACCTGTACATATGTCATCCATGCCGAAATGGTCATGAACGCGCTGGGAATTGTCCGTTCTTTTGCCAGCATGTGCCAGTACGACTGCACCAGGTAAGGTGTCCACAGAACCAAGAACATGAAAATTATGACGTAGTGCAGTCGGCTGGTCTTCTTCTCGCTCTGAAGCGTCCTCCAGGGCAGCTTGTTGTTTCGCATGCTGGACGAGCTGGTGTTGTTGTTGTTGCGGGGTTGCTGGGGCTGTCTCCCGGCTCCGAGCACGGGGGGAGCCGGCCCTCGCCCGAACCCTTGCATCCAGTTCGCCGCGGCCTGCCCCGTGGCCCCCGGCCCGAAAAAAGTCCAGTTGTGTGACAGCGCCGGCACGAAAACAACGGGATTCATCTTGCGATGCATTCGCATGAAGATGAAGAGTCTCAAGTAGATGAGATGCGTGGCGAAGAGCACGATAGAAAGGATGAGAAGGAATCCTAAAGTATCGTTCGTCAGGTAGTGTTTGTGTCGGAAATTGCACTGCTCTTCCTCGCGAATGAACTCGTAGGTGCCCAGGCCGAATACTGGGGGAAAAGCCATGATAATGGCGACTGTCCAGATGACACATATGAGCACAGCGCACACGGAGCCAGTCAGCTTCTTCCTGTGGAACTTGCTGTGTGTCACCACGATGTATCGCGTAATACTGACGGTAAAATGCGTGAAAATCACTCCGAACAGGAGCATGGTGTTGAAAAACGCCACCACTTGGCACAACGGTCGCCCATAATCCCAGCCCGAATCGTTCACCACAGCGATGATGACAAAGGGCAGACAGAAGACTGTTTTGACTAAGTCGGCCACCGATACATTCGCCAGCAGGAAAAATGGCGGCTTGCGAAGGCTCTGCTCTTTGTACAGCACGTATAAAACCAGCGAGTTGCCCAGCAAGCTGGCCACAATGACGACGCCGAGAGTCACGGTTTTAACCAGGATCATACACAGGTCTTGCTGTGGGGTGACGTCCTGGTCCGCCGCCATTTTGTCAGAGAAAAAAAAAATCCCGTCGTCTGACAATTTCCCTCAGCCCAGCTGATTATCGTCTGCGGGAGAGAGACGACGGCGCGGTGTTGTTGTTTTCTCACGAAAATTTGCAGCCATCAATCGTACCCCATTCCATGCCGGCGTTCCTCCTCCGCCACGCAAGCCCCACACAATCCTGCAGACGGTAAAGTACAAGCCGATTGTTAGTCAGAGAAGACAGGAAGCAGCGCTAGCTACAACGCTAGCCCTGCATGCCAGCCTCCATTTTTGTTGCGCCTGCTTAGAATATGCACGGTCCCCGTGGCTGTATGGAGTGATCGCTAGGTCATGTTGTTCGGGGCTGCCCAATGGCCAAGCCGTTTCAGTTCACTGCAGACTGCATGCAAGCAGTGTTTTCCTCTCAAACCCGACTCTAACACACAATAGGGGCCGCACAGCGCATCATATGGAACAAAACAATAGCACAGAAAGGGAAGGGGTGAAAGTCAGGAGGTTCTACACAAAGATAAATTCACCTCTAGCTCGTGCCGGACGCCATGTTTAATCAGGTCGCCGTGTATTGAAAACGCCACCCGTAACAAAGGCCTATGGCTCGCGGAATGGCCAGCAGGGGCCCTCAGCGCTGCTCTGTCCCCCCTTTTTTCTCGGGATTTTAAATCCAAACCCATCCAAAACCGCTATCCCCCTACCGAGCCTTCCCTCTCAACTGCGCATCACGTCATGGCTGGCCCATTCACTTTTAGGGGTGTTCCGGTAAATATGGAATGAGATATTATGTAATTCTTAACCCCAGAAAGATGTGATTTGACCTAATGGTTTAAAAAAATAAATAGGTCACTACAACAGTAGTATTTTTTTGTGAGTAAGATTTATCAGTGATTTTTAAAATGGTTTTTCAATAATAAAAATTCCAATTCCTCCCCATTTGTGAAGACGAGTGGTCTGTCCCATTCTGTCACCTCTTTATAATGCACGGCGCGTCTGCGTATCTAATAATAATAACTGGTCTGGCACCCACGTTTTTCTCACCTACGCGACAAGGCGACACTTTTCCCACGACTTCTGTCATAAACAGACTGAAATCGAGAAATGATAGAGCGACAACAGCACGGTGCAGTTAATTTAGAAGGCCGTAGTCAAACCTAGGAAAATTTAACGTGTTATGTTAGTATTGTTACTCGTTTAGGGATGTTGACATATATCTACAAGTTAGTATATCAATTACAAACAATATAAACATTATATAAGCGGAGGTAACAAGAGAGGGGGCTATAAGAAATCTGTAGATAGCATATGTTCCGTTTTCTTGCAAGGAGAATCGTGTTTCCAGTACAAAAATCACTTTCTTTGCAAAAAGTATATATGATAAAGACTTTTCACTGGATCCTTATATCTGCTTGGATTTCATGCAATTTTATTCGCAAACTCATCAATCAATCAATCAATCAATCAACCAATCAATCTTCCGCAGGCGTCATGAGTTGACACATGGTGGCTGTAGACAGCTCTCTTCACTCTGTTCTCAGCACAAGAGTCGGTTATGAATTATAATAATAAGACATCCATGGGGGCCTCAGGCTCACTCAGTGTGTTGAAGACTTGGGGGTGTCCCCCTAGACGTTAATCCAATTTTATTTACAAACTTATGCCCGAAGGATACCTGCAATGCAATACATAGAATGTAAAGAGGGGAAATGTCTAGTCAATAGATCTCTACATATTATAAGACAATTAAGTGTCTGCAAAAATACAGGGAACGTGTGAAAATATAAACGTCCAGACAATATTTATTGCTTCTCTTCCAATAATATCCGACGGGTCCAGCCGCGGGGCCATTATGTAATTAACAGCATTAACGTTATTTATCGTCACAGTCACTTCAGTTATAGGTTTCCGTTATAACTCATTTATCTCAAAGTACATGTGTGACGAGGCTTGTTTTTATTGCTGGATACGGAAGCATTGTTTTAGCCTCCGTAACAGGCTAGCGCTTATAGAACTGGGGGTTTGGTGGTCTTCGGCTGTTTTCTGATCAGCCACTGCAAAAAACGGGGGTAATTCAACCAGGCCAGCTATGTTGTCTATATGCAATCAGAAAATAGCACATAAAAGCTCCCAAAGACCCAGAAGACCCCCCCAAACCCCCAGTTTTAGCATGCTATGGAGGCTACATTATTTTGGGTGCATGAGTTTGTCTGTACATGTGGGTCTGTAAGTATGCTTGTCCGGACACATAGTAGGTTGACTGCACGTGGGTGGAGAAAAGACTAACAGGCATAAATACAGGAGGCTAGAAGATCAGACACAGGAAATGGGGTGAACTTGAAAGTCTCAGCATCTGGCTGGGATCTCGAGCCAGCATGAGATCCTACTTAGACTTAGGGGCTCCCGCTGGAGACCGACATGGGGAATTCAGGAAGTAAAAGGTTGCATGAATTCGACCCTCCATAGTTTTTGCCCTAGTGACAATTAAAGAACGCCATACTCTCCTTGGTTGTTACAAATAAATGTACGAAAACACAAAAATACTTGAATGCCTCAGGTCTAAAATTTGAAATTCCTTGTTTCAAGTTTTTTTCTTCAATAATTTTCGAAAGGTTGAAAGGCTTAAAAAACTGTAGAAAGGCGTAAAAATCAGGGCCTACACCGCCGCTTCAAAACATAAATACAAACATCTTTGTATGTAAACATGAAAACAGTGGCTGTTTATTCATTCTCTTAGATGTTTCTAGTACTGATGAATAACATAACGCATGCGCAGAAGCGGATAAACTACCATTCACCAGCGCAGAGTTCAGCGAACTTGATTTTATCGATCGCGATTCTAAAAAAAGAAAAACGAAAAATCGTTGTAAGCCTGTCCAAAGCCAGCCATATGAAAAATTGAAGGTTTTGAGTTATGAATCTAATACCGAGGATGCCGATATCAGCTACCGGTTAATGCAGGCAAACAAGATGTACTCAAAGATAAGTTTCACATGCAATATGTTCTCAAGTGTGTATTCATGAAGTTTTATTACAGTAGGCGTGAGCTCATGCACGTAGCCAGGATTTTCCCACTGTCCGATGGATCAGCGAGCGCCATAGCTTCCTAGGGGGTTCCGGGGGCATGCTCCCTCGGAAATTTTTTAAAATTGAACTTTCTGAGATGACATTTCCTGCGTTTTTGAGAGGATTTCAAGGAAAAAAAACAGAGACAAATAAGATTCCTGTCGTGGTGATACAAATCAGTCCACATTTTAATTTAAAGAAAAATCTTGGACCTTTACATAAAAAGTGGACCTTTGAGCGTGTGTGTTCTTCCTTCTTCTTCTTATAAATTGCAAATCGGATTCAGGGCCAAGACCACCTAAGCAGTTAAAAAGACTAGTTTACACGAAAATCCGTCTGTCTATGTTAATCACTCAGTAAGCTTATTAGTAACTGTATTTTTACATCTATGTCGTCAACATGTACGTCACGCAGCATGAAAATAGCTCGTCCCAGGAGCCTACGAGCTCTACGCTAATTAAACCCAACCCATGTCACACATTCAGGACCTTCCCACGACCACTCCCCAACAACTGAGGTCGGCGCTGGGTTGGGAGTAACCGTTTCGTTTGGGAGTAGCCTGGAATCTATTCTCAATCTAATCTCCAAGCAGATGCTGGGGTGGCATAAGGCCAGGCAGGGTCCATTGGCGTATTGGAGCCTCTCTGGCCAATAGATGCTGCCTGGCCAATTTGATACTGTCTTATGCCACCCTAGGATCTGCTTGGAGATTAGAATCTATCCTATTCTATCCGGGCAGTTCACTCCTTTGATCGCGTTCAAGAAGACTCTGAGTCTTCAGACTTCGATTTGTCAAAATTTTTAGTTGGCTGTCGCAGAGGACTTTTAAAAATTAGAAAGCAGCCTTGCCGACCAACTGCCTACCATGTATGGCTGGCTTCATGCCCACGCGACTTACACCCACCTATGGTCTGGATCCGGAGAAGGTCGGGAGGACATGGCCGGCTGTGTGTGACAGGAGCTTCAGTAAAAGGACATTTTCGCCCGCAATACGGTCGGAGAAATCTCAATCATTGCTCAATTTTTAGGAATCGGCCAATGTTCGCTTGTTCCTAAGCTCTGTATAACGTGTCAGGGCAAGATCTCCAGGCAAAAAATACGCTAGACTCTCTAACGATTTTGAAATTCGGCCATCTTCTGGCGATCAGAACAGTCGGCCGAAGGTCGTCGACAGAGAGACAGCGCCTTTACCAGACTAATCAGGCACCCACACAGTCGCGGAGGCGTTTGTGTTCGAAAATATGACATTTTTTATGTATTATACATGTATTTTCTGCGAACGCTCAATATGGTTCGACGAAGTTCAGTGAATACTGCGCGCTTGCGTTTCTGTGTTTTACTTTCGGTTTACTGTCTGTGTTTTATACCAGACTCGACTCGAGAACGGGAACACCAGGACTCCACTTTAGCAATCACTTTCGGTTACAGAAGTGTGTGAACTTGAAGATCACGAAAACGGAAAATACTACGCTAAAGTCTCTGATTTCTTATATTTTTTTCTGATCTTGTACACATACAGTACATAATTATTGCCGTTGTGTCCCTACTTAACAATACGACTGTACGACATCTCCCAAGGGTAACGAAATTTCTCGTGTGGTGATTTTTTTTCGAATCGAGGAGAAAACTAATGCGCGCGTGGATGTCATCCATAGAATATCCTTGCCTCAGCCTTACTAAGCTTCTCAAGTTCAAGGATGAATAAAACATGGCAACAACCTCCAACCGTTACATCCAGACTTTTGGAAATAATCCAACCTGGCAGCGTGTGTCCAAGAAAGATTTAACTAGGAAGAGCAGAGCGGATTAATAGAGCTTATAGTTGATCCCCTGTCACAATCAAGATTATATTATTGGCATGTACGGGGTGGGAGGGGGGCATATGCTCTGGATGACCTTGGGGATGATAAAAGCCCCAAGTGTAAGGTTAGAATTAACGTTAGGCAGCTTTGACAAGATTCATACGGTTTCATACATTGTACTGAGCTTATACTTAATCCACCGTAGCAATTATTGTGACTTGTTCAGGGTGGGAAGGGGGCATATGTTTGACGCTCTAGATCTGAATACTAGTAAGCTTGACATTGATAAAAGACTTTAGCGTTAGGCTGGTTCAGTAGAACAAAACGGAGCCCTACACAAACCTTAATAACCTTGATCCACAACTGACTTCTACGTACATACGGGAAGTCGGAAAGGCATTCATTGGGCCACGCGCCTCCTGCTGACTGTGCCTATTCATGCGTCTGGTTCACACCTCCTTGCAGAACGACTGAAATGTAGTAACTGAAATGTGTTGAAGTGATTAGGTTTATAGCCCATTGAAGTTTTCGACTGCCTGCAGAGGTTGGGTTTGGTGGGAAAAAAAATTCAGTGCAAAAGAGAAACCCCGATAAAAAAGCCTAAAAACACGCTAAAATACCCCCAAAACCCAAACCTCTGCTTGGAGAGTAGCCTTTGACGAGAAAGTCAGATCAGCCTGTTGTTGGTTGCTTTGTAAATGGTAGTGACGCTGGATTCGCCCTCCAAAAAAAAAAAAGACAGAAGTTCTTTTACACAATAAGCACGTCAACAGACCGACAAATCACCCCGCTAAAAGCAAACCTGCGCCTTGCCCGCGGTAAAACTACTTAAAACGCGGTCCATTTATCAACC